CTTTAAATATATCTAATAAAATTAAATAATTTTATATATTTATTTATTAATTAGTTTAAATATTATATTAAAACAATTAAAAAAAAAAGATATGGTGTTTTGATTATTATTTTTTTTTGTTTAAAAAGAATATTCGTGAATATTCAAATATCCACAATATCCGGGGAAAATCCAGTTATCCAAAATTTTTCGAAACAAAGCAAATCGGAAAATTAGATATTCGTAAAAAACAAACCGAATCACAAATACTGTATTTTTTCGAATATTCGCTCCGTGCCAGGCTTAGTGCTAGATCCAGATCCACCCATGTCCGAAAGATATCCCCAACCAGAGGCAACCCTCAAGTGGAATGACAAGTTTCAATTTTCTCGGTGGGTCTCGAGAACAACGTAAAAAGTCGGGTAGTCTTCCTAGGAACCAGCAAATACCAATAATTAAATGAAACCCAAGATGATGAAACTTTCTCCACATTTCTCTACACGGAGATTGTGGCAATAAAATGGATGCTTGGCATATAAACACTTTGTCCCAATTTTTCAGTTAAAACTTAAAATCAATTGTGTAGTCTATTTACAAGTGAAACTTTGTACATACAAGTGAAGACTTCATTGTTGAAGCAATTTTGGTGCCAACTTTGATAAGAAAGAGAAGTCATCCTTTGAAATCTTCACCTTTTTCATCTCTTCACCGATTATAATCAAACACTTTTTTACATCTTCTTCTTCATCATCATCCTCGTTCCTAAACTCAGACATTTGTGATGGCTTCAGATATCTCCTTAACCATATCAACAATTACTCCCTCCACACCCATCATATACTGTAAGTAAACAACTTCCACGACATTGCTGAAATTATTAAGATAAGTTGTTTCAGAGAAATAACAAATCAAGCTAAAGAGAAAGGAAAACAATGTGGAATTGGGAGGTCTTACTTAAGTTGGCCATAGGATATAAGTGAAAGTTCTGAATCTTTTATTTGTTTGATTGCATTTGGAGTTCTTAATATTGCCTTAACTTCAGAGACAATCCCTTGCAAACCGCCTTCTTTGCATATCTTGACGGCCTCATCTAGTGAGTTCCTTCTAACATCCTTATACGTTTCACATCCTCCATTTGTTAAGAAGAACACCTGAATTTTTACAAGCTAAGTAACATATATAGC